CTCCCCCCCCCCCCCCCCCATCCCCTGCTGCCTCGCACAGAGATAGCAGCATGTCAGGCAGGTGGGAGCTGGTACTCCAGGAAGCTGGCTTAAAAGCTGGCTCCCCATGAACACTGGATCTCGTGGAGCCACCTGCCCCCTGCTTCCTCCTACACTGCTTCCTCTTTTATCTGGGGGAGGAGGGTAAGCCGATACTCCTGGAAAGCGAGCTTTTAAACTGGCTGGCTGCATGGGTTCGCTCTGCAGCGCTGCCTGTCCCCTTTGCTGCCTGGTACTCCAGGAAGCTGGCTTAAAAGCTGGCTCCCCATGAACACTGGATCTCGTGGAGCCACCTGCCCCCTGCTTCCTCCTACACTGCTTCCTCTTTTATCTGGGGGAGGAGGGTAAGCCGATACTCCTGGAAAGCGAGCTTTTAAACTGGCTGGCTGCATGGGTTCGCTCTGCAGCGCTGCCTGTCCCCTTTGCTGCCTCCCACAGAAACAGTACAGGGAGCAGGCGGGAGCCAGAGCTTGGGGAAAGCTGGTTTAAAAGTGCTCGGGCTCCCCGCGGATAGGGGCTGCTGCCACCTCGCAATGATATACATTATTTCAGACATCTACGGGGACTTCTAGGTGGCAAACTAAAGTGTTTTGATTTCTTTAAATAGTCTTTAAAAAGAATCTCTTCAGAATATTTATATGCTTGGTTTTCAATGGTTATTGGTTGATGTGAGGAGAGGGCAGAAACTCTAACCACCAAGTTGATTACTCCTAAATGCTGGCTGCCATGCAGTCTTGTCTCTCTCACTAACTGTTCAAGGGGTCAGCAAACTCCAGTGCATGGTTTTGATGGTTAATTTTCATTTACGTGGAAGTCTGTTTTTATTAATAGTACTTTTTCAGTTCATCTGTATACTGACCAGAGTGAGTCTTTTCCAGCCAGTTCAGGGGTGCACCACTGCTTCTCAACCACGAGCTGGCTGTAGACCAGAGGCAGCCAGAGTGTGTGTTCCTTTGAATTATATATTTTGGTCTGGTCACTCAATGTGTAACCTTTAACTTGGGTTTTGGTTGAACGAGTAAAAGGACTTTGAAACAGCCACACAGATGCCTATATCTCACTTCTTACTAGTGCCCTTTTTCTAGAGCAAATTCGTCCTGCTCTCTGCCTCAGTTCTGTATGCAATGGGAGACAAGATTTGGGGAACCCAGAGTTCAGCTCTTGAAGAGCTGTCTATGCGCTTGTCTGCAGGGAAGTGGAGGGTATGTTGGGTCTGGCATCAAAAAGACAGCAAAGGTTGTGTGGCCTTCCTGGAAGCTGGCCATAGAAGCTACACCATCCCTAAGAGCCCACTTGCAAAAAGCATTCAGTTTTCATTTTTTGCTTTAAAAACTTTAACCTAGTGGCTCCTAGCTAAGAGACTGGACTGTTGTTTGAGCTGTTTCCTTCTGAATTAGCTAAGGCTTTGTGCCTGTGGTTGCTACATAGGACTTTGAAGACAGTTGTTTTCTTATTTAGGGAAGAGTAGAAGTTAGATCAAATCATTTTTACACTCTAGCTATCCTGTTGACTAAACTCCCAAAAGGTGATTTATTATGCCCCACTTTAGCTTTTTAAAATCTGATATTTTTAATCGCTACTATAATCCCTGCCCCCCATCTATTGTGGTATTTATTGTAATCTTATCAGGCTTTAACTTTGTCTCATTTATTCTGTTGCCCAATAATAATTTCTTACTGATGTAATAACTAGGTTTTTAAAATGTAAGATCTCCTTTTCAGAGAAGTTGTCCTTGATTCTTGGAAAGCAGCTTATTTTTTTCATTCAAGAAATGTACAGCAATGATATACTCTGGAGAAACAAAACTATGTTCTGAAGTATACTGCTAAACTGAATCCTTAGGCCACAGCAGTACAGTTACATCCCCTAGCAGAAGGCCCATGCTATTTAATGTAGGCAAAAGTTCATCTATTCTTGGATCTAGTTGCATGGATTGTTCTTATGTGATGGAGTTATAGTTGTGGGACTAGGACCTTACCATTTTCAATTTAAACTGTTTTGATTTTTTTGAACACTGGAAAAAATGATGCCTCCTGCTAACTTTGGTTTATTTAATTTTCTCTAGTGACACGACCGGTCCATCTAGAAGTCGGGGTATGGCTATGAATAATGGCAATAATGATTTTGTGGTCCTGAGTAATGGCAACATCCTCTCCAGTGCCACCAGTCCCAGTATCTTTTCAGCAACTGATGGAGGCATTGCAGCCCAACACCTCCCCTCCAAAGAGACGCCAAGAACTAAAGTGAGTCCAAATGGATGCCTGCAACTTAATGGTACAATCAAACCATCCTTCCTGCCTTTAGACAACCAAAGAACTCAACAGATGTTGACACAATCTTGTCACTCTTGCCCATACCATCATCCTTTAAGTAGCCATAATAAACAGCAAGAATGTCATTCACTGACTGGGAGCACACCTCCACCTCCTCTGACTTCCTGCTGCCTGCAGCCCCATACTGAATATTCAGCATCTATCTGCCAAAAACATACACCTATGTATCAGACCACCTGCTGTCTTCAACCCTCCCCATCATTCTGCCTTCATCATCAATGGCCTGACCATTTTCAACATCAGTCAGTTCAACAACATATAGCCAGTGTAAGGTGAGTGGAATGGATTTTCTTTGGTGTTCAGTATGCAACTAATTCTATCTGTATTTGGTTTCCCTTATTTCTGTAAAAAGTGAAGGTCAAAACGGAGAGTGAATTAAATCTTTTAAACATACCGTTTTGCAGGCAATATGAAAATCGGATGCATACCCACCTAACTGCATGCGAACTGTGTGTATTATGTTCAGGAAGTCCCTGGGTTACGTACAAGATAGGGACTGTAGGTTTTGTTCTTAAGTTGAATCTGTATGTAAGTCGGAACTGGCGTCCAGATTCAGCCGCTGTTGAAACTGACCAGTGGCTGACTACAGGAAGCCCGAGGCAGAGTTGCTCTGCCCCGGGCTTCCTGGAATCAGCCTCTGATCAGTTTCAACA